CTTGTGAAAAACAAAGGCCAGTTGTTTTTTAGAATGTCTCTCATTCGGGTTTGTCTGATATTGTTTCCTCATGATGAGATTCAGGTTATGAATGAAAAAAAAAAGTCTTTTTTTAGAGAGAGTGTGTGCAAGTGGGAGAGAAGGGCAGAGGGAGAAGGAGGGAGGGAGGGAGGGAGGGAGGGAGGGAGGGAGTGAGGGAGAGAGAGAGAGAGAGAGAGAGAGAGAGAGAGAGAGAGAGAATCTTAAGCAGGCTCCATGATCAGCACAGAGCCCAATACGGAGCTCCATCCCATGAACCTGGGATCAAGACCTGAGCTGAAATAAAGAGTTAGATGCTTATCTGACTGAGCCACCCAGTCACCCCCAGGTTATGAATTTTTTGAGAGAAATACAACGTGAATGATGTTTGGGCCTTCTCAACTTATCATATCCAGAGGCACATGATACCTATTTGCCCCCCACCTTTTTTTTTTTAATCTTTTTTTTTTTTTTTTTTTTTTTAGGTAAACTCTAGACCCAACACGGGGCTTGAACTCACAACCTTGACTGAGATCAAGAGCCGCATGCTCTTCCAGCTGAGCCATCCACACACCCCTGTTTGCTCCTTATTTTGATCACTTGCTTAACATGTTCTTCTAGTCCTCCAGGGTATAATTGTTTTTCCTTTTGCAACTAATGCATACATTATGAAGAGAAACTTTGATAGTGATTAAATATTCTGTTTCTTATCAAACTTGACCTCGACCCCATGTGTGTAGCATCCGTAGATGATTTTTGCCTGAAAGAAATTTTATTATGATGGTTATAAAATGGGGATTTCCTGACTCCATCAGTACCTCTATATGCTGGCACTCTACTGCAAGAAAGAGCTCTTCCCTCTTTGAAACCAACTTTAGGAATGATCCCTTCTAGCTATGGCAGGAGATCTAGATAACACACTAGTCCTTCCTCTCCTTTCCCCCATCTTCCCAGTACAGTTATATTATTTTTAGTTCCTCCATTAATTATCATTTGTGACTTAAATTAATATACACTTTTTTCTTGTTCTGTCAAGTATCTATGATGTCTCTTGATCTTCGGGTTAGTGAAATGAGGGTCTTATTTTCCTTGCCCTGCCCTTTAGCTCTCTTCCCCCATTCTACTTCCCAACTTCTGTCATGTACACTTGCACATTATTGAGGTCGTTGTTTACACGATGTTTTATAATCACTATTACGTTACTGTGAGCTTATCCAGTTTCCCATCAACTTTCCACTTTCTCATCATTGATGATCTTTGCCTGACTTATTTCATTAGGAGAGGCAAAATACTGGTATTTAAAGTTACAGTATTTGCTCTGCATTTACTAGCTGCCAGACTCTATTTTTCCGACCGTTCTAATTGTTGTAAAGTACAATTTCAGTGTTTTCATTCATGCATCTCATGGCTGCCCACTGCTTCATGAATTAAGTTCCAATGCTTTCGTGTTATGGCCAGGCCTTTCATATTATGTTTCCTACCCTTTTTTATCTCCCTTATTCCTTTAGATACTCTATGATCCTGGGAAGAGTTTCTGTGTTCCTCAAAAGTTCCACCTCACCCTTTCTTCTTCATCTTTGTTCTTGCCTTTCTTCTATCTAGATTGTTCTCAGTCCTGTGGAAATTTTATCCAAAGTCCTCACAACGGCCTCAGGGTGGCCTACAAGGTCTTACACACTAGAGTTTCTATTTCCTGGGACCTCATCTCCAGTGCTTTCTCTCTCTCATTCTAGTCAGACTGTTTTTCCAAGACACCATTCACAAGCCACAAGCTTTGTGATGTCACAGAGACATCAGGTCTTTGCATTTGCTGTTCCCCCTTCCTAGGGCACTCCCTCCAGATACCAGCATGGTTCACAGTCATCAGCTTTTTAAAGTATTTGCTCAAGTGTCACTTTCTCGGTGAGGCCTTTTCTGACCTGTCTCTTTGAAACTGCAGCACCTCCCTCCCTTTCCCTGTGCTCATTCCCCCCTTCCCTCTTCTATTTTTCTCCATAGTACTTGTTCTGTCAAATGTGTATTATGTGATTTATAGATTTCATTTATTTTCTGTCCCATCATTACCCTCTGCTAAATAGAAATTCTGTAAGGATAGACTTAATCTATTTTGCTCACTGCTGAATCCTTACAGCTAGAACAATATTTGGAATTTAGTAGATATTTAACAAATATATTCAAGATATTTAAATGAATTTGTGGAATGAATGAATGAATGAATGAATGACAAGACCTGCACTGTGGTCAATTTGTTGGTTGTTGAATAAATGAATCCTCCTTTCAAGAGCCATCTCAAATATCTCTTTTTGGAAATTTTTTGGGCACAAAGTTCTATTTCTCCCTTTGCAATATGTATTCATTTTATTTCCTTTTTTTGACTTGTTGCACTGGCTAGGTTTTTCAGCACTGTGTTGAATAAGAATGATGAGCATAGACATCCTCTACCCAATCTTCGAGGAAAAGCAGCTTAGTTTTTAACCATTAAATATAATGTTAGATGTAGATATTTGATATTTTTTTTAAACCAAATTGAAGACGTTTCCTTGTATTCCTATTTTTGGAAATTTTTATCGTGAGTGGGTGTTGAATTTTGTCAAAAGAATTTTCTTTACATATTGATGTAATCATATGATTTTTCTTTTCTAGTCTGTTAATACAGTAGGTAATGCTGATTTTTGAATGCTGAACCAGTCTTGTATTCCTGAAATTAAGCCCACTTGGTCATGTATGTAATTCTTTTATATACTGCTGAATTTGATTTGCTAATTTTGTCAAGAATTTTTGCGTATATTCATGAAGTACGTTCATTGATTTGTAGTTATTATTATTATTTTTCGTATTGTCTTTGTCTGGTTTTGGTGTCCAGGTAATACTAGTGTCATAAAGTGAATTGAGTCAAATCATTGTGTTGTACACCAAAACAATGGTATATGTCAGGTACATATCAAACTTAGGAAGTTAAAATTGAAAAATACCAAAAAAATGAATTGGGAAGTATACCCTCCTTTTCTGTTTTTTGGAAGATATTGTATGTAGAATTGTTGTTAACTCTTCTTTAAGTGTTTGGTAGAATTCTCCAGTAAAGTCATCTGGACCTGTAGATTTGGGAGGGGTGTTAACCAAAAGTTTAATTTCTTTAACAGCTGTAGGGACACTAAGAATAATTAATGTTAGATGAGTTGTGGTAGTTTTTGTTTTTCAAGGAATTGGTCCATCTAATCCAAGTTGTCAAGTTCATATGTGTGGAGTTGTTTGTAATTGCTGTCATCTGAATGTTTGCATATCCCCCCAAATCATATGTTGAAACCCTAATGCCCAATGGAATGGCATTGAGAGGTGGTGTCTTTGGGAGGCGATTGGGTTGTGACAGAAAAGGTTTCATGAATGAGGATAGTACCCGGATAAGAAGCTCTAGAAGCATCCACTGCCCTCTTCCACCATGTGAGGACACTGCCAGGACCTCCCAGCCTCCACAACTGTAAGAAATAAATTTATGTTGTTACCCAGTCTGTGGTATTTTGTTATAGCAGCTCAAATGAACCAAGCTGGTAATATTCCCTTTTTATTTTTTTAGATGTTGCATCTCTGGCCAGCTGACTTCATTTGCTCCAAGTCTGGGACATCTGAAACGTCAAAGAAAATCCAGGCAACTGGGCCACCGTGTTGTTGCTCAGATCCCTGGCTGGTCTGCTTTCTTCTTTCCACCTTTCAGTCTTATGTTTGTTTTATATACAGTGTCAGGGTTTTTATGGTACTTAAGTAGCAGGAGGAATAAGGCAAAGTTGATCTACTCTATATTCCTAGAGTGTAAGCCCCCATCTTTAGTTTTTGATGTTAGTGTGTGGCTTATGTCTTGCTAAGGTATTGCGTCCAAATCATTTTTTTGACAAGATAAAATCATTTCATGCATATTACCGTAAGACCATTGTTGTCCATTTGGCAAGTCTTACTTATATTCAGTGGCCTGAGATGCTGGTGAATACAACTTCTGAATATGTGGAAATATTTTAAGATTGATTTAGAGCAGAGTACTTCTATTATAGCAACAGATTTGCCCTCATTTTTATTTGTGACTATTTATAAATAAAAGTTTATTTGACAAATAAAATATGGTAGTTTAATTCTTCGAAGGCAGTTTACAGACAGATCTGCTATAGGATAATTATAGGTGTTTCAAACCTGGATTTGATTCCATGGACAAATGTATAAGTAGAAGAGAAACATTGCCAGGAAGGAGCATAAATGTGCATTCAAATAACTTTAATCGTTAAATTATACTTTCAGTTCTTTCTGACAAGAATGTCAAATCCGTCTCTCACAGTTAAATTGATTGGCCCAGTAATCTGAAATAAATGGTCTGAGATTGTGAGTTTACGTTTTTTGGTTTTTTTTTTTAATTTTTTTTTTCAACGTTTATTTATTTTTGGGACAGAGAGAGACAGAGCATGAACGGGGGAGGGGCAGAGAGAGAGGGAGACACAGAATCGGAAACAGGCTCCAGGCTCTGAACCATCAGCCCAGAGCCCGACGCGGGGCTCGAACTCACGGACCGCGAGATCGTGACCTGGCTGAAGTCGGACGCTTAACCAACTGCGCCACCCAGGCGCCCCATGAGTTTACGTTTTAAAATCCTTTCCATTTAGCCAGAGGGAGAGACCATATTACACACACACTTCTTCTATGAAAAAATATGACTATTCTGCCTGTTTTAATTTTGTTAATCAGTTTCCCCCTGTTATTCACATTACTTTATAGCGGTTTTCATAAACAATGCATTGGCCTACACCAAGGATTATTAGGTGTTTCACAGCACAGGTGTGAGACTTCTTGACATCTCCAGTGTTAGTCATCATTGACTCAGTGATCCTTGTGCAATGGTGAGTAAAGCGAAGGCGGGAATGTAGGCTTTTAAATTGTGAAGCAAAATCATCGTTCTGGGATTTTACTGGGAATCACACATTGGGTTATGAAATGTCAAGAGGCCCAAATATGAATTTAAGTTAGAGCTTTACAAAGTAACATTAAGTTATCCTCTTAATGCATTTTAATATAATTTCCTTTAGTATCCTTCAACATCCTCTAAGCCCATAGTGCTTCACAGTTATTTTAAAATCAATCCCTAAGTCAATATCCTTTCTTTGTAATTTTAGTATCCTCCAATCTCCTAAGAACAGCTGCAAGTTGAAATGATGTTGGAGAACTGTGGCAAAAATCTAATAAAAAAAAATGGCTTCATTTTGCAGGGAAAGGTGTATTAGGTAATTGACAGAGAATGACCAGGAACATGGATGTAGGGGTAGGTCAGACAGATTGAATTGTTAAGTATTTTCAACCCACTGTAAATGAAATTTTGAAATCAATATGCCATTTTTGTTGCATAAGCCTGTTAAGGACAGAAGCAAGATGGAAAGATGTAATACTGATTTGTTTAGCTGCTAAAGCAAGTGGAAGTGCTGTGTGCAAAAGTTCCAGGATCTCTTGAAAAAAGCAAGTTGCACTCTTACATAATTTTGCTTTAGAAAAGGGTATTTATAATTGTGTATGAGATAATTGTGCATTATATACTATTGCAATGCACATGATGCTAATTTTTCATCTTGGAACATCTTATTGACTTTTTTTTTGTTTGTTTCTTTAGGGTTGCAGTGGGTTTTCCGTAACAGCTTTTTTCTTTTTTTAAGTTTATTTTTTAGTAATCTCTACACCCAATGTGTGCTTCAAACCCACAACCCCAAGATCAAGTCGAATTCTTTTCCAACTGAGCCAGCCAGGTGTCCCCCATAACAGTTCTAGGCTAGACACAGACTTACTGAGGTTTCTCTATGCTTTATCATGCTGCATGCAAATACAGGAATTCTAGGCAGCCGTGATGTCTCAAGTACATTTGGTTCCTTACCCAATAGCCATTTCCCTCTTTTTTTTTTTTTCTACTAGGCCTCCATATTTTTTGGGTTCCACTCATTCTTTGCAGTCCTGTGCTTAGAGGAGATAAATCCTGGTAAGGCCCTTTCTCCTAGCCAGTGATCGGTTTAGAGATGTGACTATCAACCAGTTTGGCCAAGGAAACATGGGAAATATGCTGGAGGAACTTCTGGGAAGATTTTCCCTGCTTTCAAAAACGACACAGGAGGGAGGGAATCATCTGTTCTTCTGAACATTGTGACTGAATGTGACCCTTGAACTACTCATGGATAAGCAGAAGATGGAAAGGACAGACCTGATGACAATACTGAGCTGCTGAATTTGGAATGAAATTGGGGGCTGCCCTACACCCAGACTTGTTGGGGAGATGTTACATCTCCCTCTGTTGAGGCCTTTTGGGTCAAGATTCTTTATTACTTGCAACTGAAAAGGTCCTGTTAAAATAGTATTATATTACAGCAGCCTTGGCTTACGTAACATCTTCCGCTTAGATGACATATATAAGATTTGTGCTCCTAACTTGGGCGATTCTCTCTTATTAAGCATGATGCACTAATCACGAAGGATTAAAGAAAAAAAGGATAAGATCGAAATTGCTTTGTAGCTTTGGAAAACTATCAGGACTTTCCATCCTCTTGAAAGCAGGCTTCTAAGGATGAGTTGCTCTTGTTTCCAATTGATGTGTGGTGGTGAGAGGGAGAAATGACAGTGATGGTGTCACACGGTGTCACACAGGGTGATGGTGCTTCTACGAAGCCTGGACGATGAGGCTGGAGTACTGGGGTTCTGTGGAATCATGCTATTGCTGCAGGTGAGCTTTTTAAGGATAAAAAATGAGGGGCGCCTGGGTGGCTCAGTCAGTTAAGTGGCTGACTTCGGCTCAGGTCATGATTTCACGGTCCGTGAGTTCGAGCCCTGCGTCGGGCTCTGTGCTGACAGCTCAGAGCCTGGAGCCTGTTTCAGATTCTGTGTCTCCCTCTCTCTGACCCTCCCCTGTTCATGCTCTGTCTCTCTCTGTCTCAAAAATAAAATAAACGTTAAAAAAAAATTTAAGGATAAAAAATGAGAGTTAGGGGAGAATCATGGAGGGAGGCGTCTAAATTAAATTTTCTCCTCAAAATAAAGCAAAGGGGGTTACAGGTTGGAGGGATAAGGGAGAGGTCCATAATTATACAGAATGTTCTGGTTTTATTTTATTAAACAGTTTGTTTAATGTTTATTTTTGAGAGAGAGAGGGAGACAGAGCATGAGCAGGGAGGGGCGGAGAGAGAGGGAGCCACAGAATCAGAAGCAGGCTGTAGGCTCCAGGCTCCAGGCTCCAGGCTCCAGGCTCCAGGCTCCAGGCTCTAGGCTCTGAGCTCTCAGCACAGAGCCCCACGTGGGGCTTGAACTCACGAACTGTGAGATCAGGGCTCAAACTCATGAACTGTGAGATCACAACCTGAGCAGAAGTCAGACACTTAACTGACTGAGCCACCTAGGTGCCCCTGTAATATTCTGGTTTTAGATGAGACTGAGCCCATGGCAGGCTTTATGGCAGCATATGTCTAGGCCTCAGGGACGATCTAGTCCAGATTTCCATTCAGAATTCTTCCTAAGAGAGAAATAGACTCTCAGCTCATGAATTTCATGAAATAAACTGATTCTCTCATCAGGGTCTTTCGGGATAGCAATGTCAAGCACGCTAGATCCATTCAAGTTTCTGTTCAGGGTTCTGAAACAAATACTGGATCACAATACACCAGAAGTAGCTGAACAGCGATGTTTGTTTGTTTGTTTGTTTGTTTCTTCCTTTCTTTCTTTTTTGATGTATGTTTCTCAATGTTGCCCATTTCCATCTTTATCTCCACAAAATATCCTGGGAATGGAGGTAGACTTGCAGATTCTAGCAATAGTGAGAAAAGGCCAGAAGGATCTGAAACCTCAGAAAGAAACTGGAAGTGAATGAAGTAAACTGATCAGAGAGAGAAGTGGTCCACAGCTCCCACTGTCTTCCCGAGGTACAGGTCAGAAGTAGCATGTCCCCAGAAGATTAAATTCTTCCTGTAGACACCAGCTTGAGTGCCTGAGAGTTCCAGTGCCTTTCCTGACCCCCTGTGGATTTCAGGCTTGTCGAGCTAAGCCCCCATGATTGCATAAGCCAATTCCTTGCAACAAATCTCTTTATATAGATCTCCTACTGGTTCAGATTCACTGCTTGAACTTTGATTGCTACACAGTCATGAAGAGGAACTCTTAAAAGCAGCTAGAAAAGAAAAAAACATTATGCCCAGAGAAATAAAGAATGACAGCAGATTTCTCATTAAAACACGCAATTGAGGAGACAGTTGTACATCTTTAAAGTAACAAGAAAAAATTGCCATTTACGTACTATAATTTATATATTCCAACTTTTTTCACTTTGAAATTATAATTTTTTATTATAGGACATAAATTGTATAAAAATTCAATGATAACAAAATAATTGGTGACTTTCTTGAAGCAAAGGCAAGAGATGTAACTGCTGTGGTCTTATTAGTCGAGTAGGCAGTTTGCAATCCAGAAAAGGACTTTCACCAGAACCTAACCATGTTGGCACCCTGGATTTCCAGCCTCCAGAACTGTGAGCATAAATTTCTGTTGCTTCTAAACCACCCAGTCTGTAGTATTTTGTTACAGCAGCCTGAATGGACTAAAACAATAGCTTTTAGGGAGTAATTGTGAATTCCGTATTTTTTCATGTTAGCACTCACTCAAATATTATTCATCCAAACAGTGTTGTCCTATCCACAAAGCCAGACATGCATGATAATAATTAAATTCAGTCATCTTTGATATTTTGCCACCTTTCAGTCCCAGCCAACCATAGCTTTATATACACTTTTCAATTTTTATCATTTCAAAGGTATATTTGCAAAATATATTTGTACAATAAAACCTTGTGTTTACCAATTGGTTGGCTTATTTATTATGTTTAAAAATTTAAGTGTGTAATGGGTAAGCATTCATTTGTACCCTTCTCTGAGGCCCCCAAAATGTTAGGGCCCACAGGAGGGACTCTCTCAGGTCTTGCTCTGGTACTGTGCTATGGAAAGTTACCTGAGTGTGAACCGTCCCTAGCTAATTTCCTCTCCTTCCCTTCCTCTCTCTTGTTTTTGTTGTGGAAAACTGGGCACAGGGTGAAAAGAATCTCCTGGAGATCAGTTTACATACTTTCCCTTCCCAATAGAGAAATAAAACAGTTGAGGAGCCCTCCGTGTGACAGAAGAGGCATCTGTGAAGACCATACTGTACTCAACAACCAGCAAAAAGACTGGTTGCCTTCCTAGCCCCTACCCAGTCCCCAATGCTGGAGGATGCCTAGAATTCCACCCTTAGAACTTTATTTAAGGGGCACCTGGATGGCCCAATCAGTTAAGCGTCCAACTCTTGATCTCAGCTCAGGTCATGAGCTCATGGTTCGGTTGGTGAGATAGAGCCCCACGTCCTGTCATCGGGCTCTGTACTGACAGCAAGGAACCTGCTTGGGTCAGTCCCACTCTTTCTCTCTGTCCCTCCCCCATTCACACTGTATCTCTCAAAACAAATAAAAAAAAACACCTTTATTTTAAGGTTGGAACCATTCTCTATCTTTGTGTGTTGGTAATTCAAGAGATTTGATTTGGGGAAAGGAGCAGAGAAGACCTGTGTTTCCAATGCAACAGGGCAGATGAACCACTGGGAGGCTGAGGTAGAGATGAGGGGAGGTGGGAGGGAGATGAGGGGAGGTCGGGAATCTTGGAAATTTTTTTTTTTTTATCTCAGTGTATAGCAAATTTTCTCATTCTTTTTTGCCATTGTGTCATTCATAGCTTTATACCTCAATATCTGGTGCATAGTTAAGCAAATGATAAATATTGAATAAGTGAAATATTGAATGAATGAAAATAAAGGGACATTTTTGTGCTGCTCTTGGAAATTAGCTGAGCAAGTTATTATATACATGTTTCAACACGTAATATAGATAAATTATACAAAGCCTTCTGATTCAACAATTGAAATATTACTTGTCTTATTCTTTACCATCCATTAGAGGGAGACATGACTCTGTTGTGTAAAGCCAACACTTTGATCCTCTAACTGGAAAATCTGAACCAACTCTATAGCAGGTGGTCCTTTGTAGAATTTGAGCCCTTAATAACTCTGTCTAGGACTGGATGTTCTAGGGATGATAAAGGATGTTAATTTCAGGAGGAGAAAATGTCTGGACCAAAGCACTTGGACCAGGAGTAAGGACACAGGTGAACTTGGCTCAGTTACTAACAGCAAGACTGACTACTTTTGTTAGGTGGGGTGCTAGTAAACTAACTCTTTAAAATAAAGTCTTGTTCTGAATGTAGTACTTATGGATTCCCTAAAGAAAAAGACAATACAGTATTCACAGTGAGCCATGAACCAAAAACCAGAGAACAGCTGAGAAGTGTTCACATCAATCAATGTCCTCTGTTCTGAAGGAAACAACACTCTCGGGCCAAGAGAAATCCGTAGTGTATCTACTTACTATGGTCAATTTCAAGCTATGATTGGTTTAACAATTGAATTGCAAGTTCCTTGAGTAACAATCCGCAATCCGGAGCCAGTGTGAACAGACTTCTGCACACTGCTGAACTTTGTTGGGTCTTAGTTGCCTTTCCTGGAAAATGGGGATGGTAAATAACCCATTACACAGATTCCATTATATAGTGGGCATCTAAGCCCTTTGAACATTTTAAAGCAATGTTTTCCAAACTTCCCTGATCATAAAATCATCCAGTGGGTTGTGGAAAATGCACATTTCCAGGACCCACCCCAGAGCTCCTGGTTCAGAGTCTGCTGGGGAGGAGGTGCCTGGGAATCTATATGTTAAACCAGTGACTCGGGTGACCCGTGATCTAGGAATATGGGAAAACACTGCTTTAAATTAGTCTCACAACCGGGTTCTAGGTCAGTGGGTCCTTCTCTGACTCACTTCACAAGTGGGCCTGCCTGAGGAGATGCAGGCAGAACTCATCTACGCCGGACAGGGCACTTAATTCTCTTCTACCCCCTCCATCCTAGGAACCCAAACCTCTTTAACCACTAAACCTGCTGTTTGCCTTCTCCGAGGCCAAGTCTTCCCTACACCTGTGAAGCCCTTTGTTCTAAGGGCTGCTGGATTTTTTTTTTAATTTTTAAAAAATGTTTTATTTATTTTTGAGAGACCGAGAGAGACAGCATGAGTGGGAGAGGGCAGAGAGAGAGAGAGAGAGAGAGAGAGAGAGAGAGAGGGAGACGCAGAATCTGAAGCAGGCTCCAGGCTCTGAGCTGTCAGCACAGAGCCCCCGACTCGGGGCTCAAACTCATGAGCCGTGAGATCATGACCTGAGCCGGTCAGACGCTCAACTGACTGAGCCACCCAGGTGCCCCTGGGCTGCTGGATTTTTTAAAGCCATCGTGTATGGAGAAACAGCCAGGTGTCAGGCGGTTACAGCTCATCCCCACA